GTTGCCACCAAAACTTAAATTATACCAAAAACTTGCCATCCAACCATGCTTTTCCTCATCTGGAATGGCCAAGCAATTCTGTTTAACACATCTATCTTTAAACAGATTGACAAAACAAAACATTTCCTCATTAATTTATAATTTCCAAAAAAACAAGTAAGCTATCATGATGGTTTTAAATTCCACAAATTTCTGTACAGAAGGAGCCCCCAGGTTCAGCTCACATGCTCCTAAAATGCCATATGATCATTACAAAAAAAAAAAAAAAGCTTCATATAGTCTCTAACCAATTCTGGATATTTCAACCAACCATTTCTTACTGGTGATTGTTCCACAAAGTCGCAGTTAAAATTAGCAGCAAAATTTTCTAAAGATCTACCCACAATGCCTAGAAAATTATTTATATTTTACATTCACTAAACTGTTTTTCTTCTTAGGCTTATTTCATCCTTGAGTCTGTAAAGTATATACTCCACTATATTATACTGTAATAACAGTACTTTCTGAAGTTTTAAAGTAGACTCTCTTATAAACTGCAGCTGTAAAGAGAAAGTTATGCACACTAGTTTCTTAAATGCATATGTTTTCCTTAAAGAAAACTTTAATACACACTACAAAGTTGTATCTGGGACAACACTTACTACCATTGCCAAAGTTCTGATGATCACAAACCCAACTCGTAACATAATACATGTTTCTTACCAGTTAATTCTCACAGAACCTTACAAGGTAATTACTATTGTTAGCCCATTTTACAAACTGAGAAATAAGCTTACTCAATACTCTTCTGCCTCGTGACAAACATAAACACCACCATGGGATTGGGGAAAGAACAATTCAACTCCCTATCTATATCCATGCCACTCTGCGATTTGAGCTGAGCATTAAGAATCTAAAATGTCTTTTTTCATTTAAAAAGTTTTTGTAAATGCCTCAAATTCTTAAAAATGGTATAAGCACAAATACATTAATTGTATATGTAAAAAAGGATTACTTATCCTTTTAGCCCCTCAGTATATACTAGTCCCTTCACATACAACACTTTACTCATCATTACAGTAATTGTCTGTGATATTAAAGCCCTATTTTACAGACGACCCAGCTAAGCTTACTAATTCGCTGATACTCTGTTTTGAAGAAAAGGTAACTCTACCACACACATTTATCTCACTATGTTCTCCCACCCCCCAAAAGACATATACTCCCTCAAGTCTTGAAAGTATCTAACTATAGAATGGGAATTCCTGATTTAAAAACATTCAATGTTACCTATTTTCCTTATACTTATCCCCTAGATTTTATACTGTAACTTTCACATTAATCAGCATACTCTAAACAAATGTAATCTAAGATACATACTTAATTCCTATTCATGGTTTCTATTCATCTCTGAATTTGAGACTACCAATAATCTATGAAAACTGGTACTTAAATCATAGTAATTATAAAACATAGTAATTACATATCAACAAAGAGGTGGCATGGCTAGTATCTCAAAAATCTTCATCTTTGCAAAAAAGAAATGGTATTACAGCCAAAGAATGACACTACCTGTACAATTTCTACAAACCTACTTTTCTGTTTTGGAAAATTAAATTCCAAGAATGAAAGAAAGTTGAGAGCTTACAAACAGTATGTTGCTCTTTCTGGTTCAAAAATCAGACTTTCAAATCAGAAAAAAATTCAATCTACTCTTTTAAAAATAAAATAAGTAGGGCAAGAGAAATTGTATGGTTTGCTCAAGATTACCTGCAAGCTGTCACCAGGGCTTAGGACTTATCCTTTCCCTTAAAGATTTCTAATAAAATGGAATCATTTTAGGAAAAGCATACATCACTATTTTTAAAACACAAAATTACATTATTTTAACAAATAAGCAAAACATTAACCTAGTTCTGAAAAAAAAACTTGCAAGTAAAAATGGGTACTAAATGTGGCAAAAATGCTAAAAAACTCTGCTTTAAGATTTCATAAAAAAATAGCATAATAGGAAGTGCTAATTAAGGTGACAATTAAAAAAGACTTAATAAACCAACCAACTCAAATTAATGAAATAAACAAATGACAAAATTTTCTTTGTCCCCAAAATAGCTGGGTTTTCTTATTCTATAAAAAATTTGCCTACACTTGGTTCCATTTAAAAGAGCTGTGATAAATGCTTGAAAATGTTTTGCTTTAAAATAAGTTGCATACTTAAAAAAATATAAAATATTAATAAATACCAACATGGTGGCAAAAACAATTTTTAATATACTGTTAAATTCCATCAGGTTTGTTAAAATATTTTAAAACTTAACGTGCCAAAGGCAAAAACAGTCCTCAAATTTTGAACAGTTCTACTCCCAATCATATCGGAAAAATAAAATGCATTAATTTTATTTTTTTAACCTATAAACTTTTAAAACTACTCTTAAAATTTCATTTTCCTCTTAGTGAAAATTTAATCACTGTGATTCTATTGTAGGCTGACTACAGATGATGATCAATACCCATTTTTGAACTCATATGTACAAACATATCCCGAATTCTAAAAAGCTTGAGTTTTCCAGAAATTGTGACCTAACGTATCAGTTTTCCCATTTAAAATACTACTCAGTTATCAGCTAACATTTCAACAAATCATTTCCATAACAGATGCTGAAACTACACTTTCACTCAAATACTCTTCAAACCAATGTTAAATAAATTCAATTTGATACACAGCAAGTAAAACTTTTTTAAGTCATAGGAACAAATTAAGACAATAGAAAATACCATCTAAGACTCTGTGTTTACCTAGACCGAAAATCTCAGGATCTACTACTAAGCAAAAATGTTTCCAGAAGCCTGGTGATCCAAAGTGTCTTTCGCACTAACTAAACCTCAAATGAAAAGTCAAATGAAGTTAATCCAAAAATTACACGCCTATACATATAGTTTCATGAAAGCACCTCCTCTGGTGCACTGCACTTTATGCTGAATGAATAGAAAATCAATCAACCCCAAGTTGTACTGAGTAACTGTCTTATGCACAAGTTAACATGAATGTTCTGGTGAGGTAAAAACCATACAAGCCACTTCCGTGCAAAATAGTTGGATTTTGATAGATAATACATTAATAAAGATCACTGCTGTGTCATTTGAGATACAGACTAGGTGTAAATTCATTTTACTAATATTTGAAATGAGAAACCCTTTTCCATCCCGCAAATTAAGTCTAAATTTGATTTTTAATAGAGAAAACAAAATGACACTATTCAAAAAATAGAACATTAATAAAAGTCTCCAAGTTAAAAGAAACAGCAATTCTCAGCAACTTGAGGTTTGTGGCTTTCTAAACAGATAAAAAGATGAGTTTTGTAAAACCTGCCCCACTTTTAAAATGGATTATAACTTTTATGATAATTTTCTCGAACAGCAAGGAAGACATGAGAATTTACTGGAGTTTTGCCTAATATTTATAAACATAAAAACTTATTTCAAATATTAGTAAATCTTGGCGTTTACTTCAAACTCCATTCTTAGCCAAGTATTGAATAAAACTAGCTTAAATCACTACTTGAAAAGTAACAAACCGTAAACATGACAATGAATACACTGTTTAAATCTCCATTTAGTAGATTTATTAAACCTAAGTATCCTTGCTTATTTTAATAGCTGTATGCAGTCATCAACTCATTAAATCATGAGACTTACATACACATAGGCTAGGAGGTGTATTACATCCAAATGAAACAAAATCATGCCATGCCCTCACCTCACAGAAGACACTCATTCTGACCAATGAAGTACCATCAGTAATTATAAGTGCCTCAAAACAATTAGAAATGTCTCATAAAAAATCAACGCACTGCCTAAATTTCAAAGGCCTCACGTGACTGCTTTAACTGTCCAACACAAGCATTCATCCAGACCACCTACATCAGTTTAGGCAAAGAAAATGCTATGCAAACTATAGATCCTTGAAGGGAAACTTTACATTAATATTTCACCTTTCCATTCACAACGCTAAAGTGATAGTCCACTTTTGGAAAGCAATTTTAGAAACTACTGAAACATTCACTTTGAAAACTGAGAAAATTAAGAAACAGGGTATTTTCTCAAGCTATTAAACAAAATATATCCCAACACAAACAAACCAAGAAAAACTTTTATTGGCCAAGTTTCACCTCACAGTAAATAAATAGATAAAAATCAAAACTCTCCAGAGCCCTTCATTAATAGTTTTTAATTGAGCAGGGGGCATGCCACGATTAGCAAGACTGCTATAAAAAACTTCTAGTTTTACACTTATGCAAATACATGTTTTTGTAAATGCAGAATGTGTCGGTAGTCCACCATCACCACGCATCTCAACTCCTCCAACAACAACAACAACAAAAAACCACACAAAAACGCGTAGGTCTGAATTTAAGGAAAGCAAGAGAAAAGGGGCGGGGGGGGGCAGGAACTGTCTTGCCAAGGTTCCGCTGCGGCTGAATAGCCTGCTTGTGAAATGCTAATGCCACTTCGGAGCAGTTAGTCACCAGCCATTGTGTAGGGCTGGAGAAAGCCGAGCCGGCCGCGCGTGCAGAGCGAGCAAGCGAAAGAGAGAGAGAGAGAGAGAGAGAGGAGAGAGAGAGAGAGAGAGAGAGAGAGAGAAAGAGAGAGAGAGCGAGCGCGCCTCCTCCCGCCGCCGCTCCCGCCGCCGCCTCGCGCGCGCCCCCGCGCCCGCCCGGACGCGCGCGCCGGCCCCTCCTCCTCCGGCCTTGCACTGCACAACACTCATGACGTATCTTTATTTCAAGCACATTAACAAAATATCACAAATAAACTGTCCGCAGCCCCTGCGGCCCCGGGGTGCGGATTCCCCCGACCACTGACCCCCCGTGGCCCCCATGACCGCCTCCCAACCTTCTCCCTGGCCTTTGAAGCTTTCACGTTCTGGGGCCAAGTTTTTGTCTCTGTAAAAAATTGCGGGAAATTCAATTTTTATTCTACTCGGGGAAAAGTTTCTTTGCCGTGCGACGTGAATGTCTCACCAGATTCTGGTAGGTCCTGGGATGCTCCTTCCCGGTCCAGTCCGTGCGCCGAGGCAGCAGCTGCGGGGAGAGGACGCCCCGTGAGCCCGGCCCCCGGCCCCGGCCCGCCCGCTCCCCTCCCCCGCCCGCCCCGCGCCCCGCCGGGGACCCCGAGCCCCGCGCCCCGCGCCCCGGCGGCGGCAGCGGCGGCGGCCCGCGGCCCAGGGGCGGCCGTGAGGCGGCAGGACGCGCCGGGCCGCCGCCGCCCTTACCTCCTTCTCGGCCACCTCGCGGATCAGCACCTGCAACAACAAAGCGGGGAGAGCTGAGCCCCGCGCCCGGGCCGCGGCCCCACCGCCGCCGCCGCCTTCCTCCCCACGCCCGCGAGCGGCAAGCCGCGAGCGCCGGCCCGGCCCGCGCCGCGCGCCGCCGTACCTGCGCCGCTTGCTGACAGGGTCCATCTTCCAGGAACCGAGCGATGAGGAAGTAGAGCTCTGCGCGGGAGAGAGGGACCAGGAGACACAGGCTGAGCGGCCGGGCGGCGGGGGGCGGGGGCCCGCGGGCGGAATCGCCCGGTGCCAGCAGCCCCGCAGCCCCCCGACTTACCCGATCGCAGCTCCGAGAGGCCTTTCCTCTCGCAAGACATGTTTATGGGTCACTTCGGGGCCGACGGCGGGACACCCCGCCGCCCAGGGGAAGCGGGGATGATGCCGCCGCCTGCCCTATAGCTGTCAGTGTGTGTTCACGAGCCGAACCTCGGCTCCACCATTCAAGCAACGGCGGCGGAGGCGGAGGAGGAGGAGGAGGAGAAACAACAACTCTCAGGCAGCGGCTACAGCCGTAGCCGCCTCCGCCGCGAATCCCTCCGCCGCAGAAAAGAGTCCGTCGTCTTCGCGGCCCCGCACCCGGCCCTGATCCTCAGCCCGCGCACCCGACACTCAACGCAAAAAGGGAAAAAGAAAAAAAAGAGTGCCTCCGACCGCCTCGCCCTCAGCGCCCGTTCCCGGCTCGGCGCGACCCCCACCCCTCCTCCCCGCCGGAGGCGCGATTTATTTATTTATTTCCAGTCGGAGAAGATGTCGGAGCCGAAGCCGCCGGTTGGCTGGAAGGCGCTTTCTCTGTGGAGGCCGATCTCGGGAGGGAGGGGGCCGGGTACGGCTTCGCGGAGGAATCTGACGCACACGGAGCCGCAGCACAGGCTCTATTCAGCGGCGCTGGCTGAGCTGAGATGGAAGTTAGTTTCTATGTAGCAGAAATAGGAAACAAATGAAGCAAAACTGCCCAAAGAGGGGAAATGCCCGGAGGATGGGTCTCACTCTCACGCGCGCACACAGACACATGCAGAGAGCACTCTCACGCTGGGCAAACTCGGGATCGCGCTGCCCTGCCCGAGTTGAATGATAGTGTTTGGTTTCTGTCTCTTGCCATGTGCATGTGTATAAATGCTGCGGATTGGCATCTGTGTAAGTCTTGTCCTGCGTTATTTCTGCAGCCTATGCAAGTGTTGTGTAATTTATTAGAGTGTGTATATTGCAAGAGAGGTTCGGGCTGCTTTTTGTTAAGCACTTGCGTTTTGGAAACCCGTTATTTGCTGAAGCCACCTCTGCGTATTTCTTTTATTACTACCGTTGCCTTAAGCGAAGGTTTCTTTAAAAAAAAAAATTTATTGTTAAAAACGGGCAAAGCGAACTCCAGATTTGTACTTCAGTACTCTTTTTATCCTGCTTACAAAAAGGCTAGTGATGGGATTAAAGAACCTTAAAGCTTTTTTAAGTGTTTACAAGAAGGGATAATGTAAATCTGAGGGAAAGAAAAGGGCGCTAATATTTATCTCTAACTGATCTAAAGGTAAATTAGTGGAAGATCAATAACCTATCGAAGGAAGAGTACACTACAGTTTAGCCAAGGTGATTAGTGATTAAATAATTTAAATTATCTGTGTGTCTTGCAGCTGACTTCGTCATGCTAATTAATGGCTTCTAATTTGAGGTGTAAACCATTCCTGTTTACAGTTAATCATGGAAAGACTTCTTGAAAACTGACGAAAAGAGAAAAAAATAATCTTTCTTAAATCAGTATGTAATTACCGGTTTTATATGCTAAATCATACATCTGTGTTTTACTGATGAGGATGAGGGCCTTGTTTTAAAAAAAAAATGGGTGAAATTAATGGAAACAATGGAAAAAGCCATTTGTTAGAAAACAAGAACATCAAGAGATATTTATCTCCAGATGATTTAAGCACTTTCTGAAAAGACTTGAGAGTTCAATGTTTTTTAAGGTTGGCGTTTTAAAGGATATTAGGATAGGCATTCTTTTGTTAATCTTTAACAAAAGATTCTCCTTAAAATTTTTACATAATAGATGCATTTTATGGGTCTGGTTTGAAAAGGTTATTTGTGAGAAAAGGACCAACAATCTGTATTGTGGTTTTCTAGGTTGTTCTTCAAGCCTTGTACCCTCCTAGCTTCTACATTCCTAGTGGGAGAAACTGGCTGCTGCTACTGCCTTGGGCAGCGCTGCACGGCTGCACTGGTGTGGTGCCTGTGCTAAAACATCAGAAATCACCACACGTGAAAGGAAGAAGGAAAAAAAGGCTCTACTCCTTTGCAATAATGGGATGTAAAATTGCCTTTTGTAATTCAGTCGTAATAAAATAAATCTAGGAGTTTTCCATGATTTGTCCTTTTGCTGCCTGGTTGTCAGAATAACTGCTATTTTTTCAATGACATCCTATCCTAAAATTCTGAAAATGTTTGCATTTTTCAAAAAAAAAAAAAAACCATTTAATTCTATTCTTACTCGAGGTAAAGTAGCCTGCTTCTGGATGGTTAAGCTTGAAATGACAGATATTTTATAGGCCTTTCTGCAGTTGTGTTTATTTCTATGACTGATGCTATCTTAGCTTAACTTTTTAAAAAAGTATTATGTTCTTCAAATAATTTTAGTATCTTAAATGTAAGATGCTCTTCAAACAAATAGATTTTAGGAACTAAAAATTGTAGTTGGGATTTTCGAGTTTTGAAATGGTTGTATTAGTCTGATTTTTATTGATGGGTGTTTTATCCTTTTGAAGGAAAATAAACCGAGTTATGATGTGGAATATAAAATTACTCTGGGTAAAGTTTTCATGTATACCTTGGGAGTGTTATGCAAACATGGAAAGCTAGTGTGATTATCTCATATAGATCTCATTTAGAAGCCATGAAGCTCTTTCCTATGTATGCTACTAGCACTTTGCTTCAAAAAATGTATAAGGAAGATTCTCCTTTTTCAATATGATAGCGATGTTATTTTGACTAACCTTTGACAATATTTTTAGTTTATTTTTTAAAAAACTTAATTTGAAAATAGTTGTAACCTTGCCTTTGAACTAGTAACTATCAATTTGTTAGAAGAAAATGTAGACATTACCTGACAAAAATTAAAAGTTCTCTTCAACCAAATAGACTTTGTTTTTAGCAATGAATGTTAAATAAAATTTTACCAAGTCCTTCAAATGTTAAAAAAAAAAAAAAGAAAATACAACTCCATATAACCTTTTGATTCCTTTACCATAAAACACATTCTGAACTCTGGTATCATCAGCTAACTCTAGAGTTTTATTAAGTCATTTATTGTATATGTGTACACAAAAGTCTATCATATCCAATAGAAAGAAAATCTTATGTGGAAGTCATGTATTTTAGTTCTTAAGCAATGACCCTTGCAATTCTTCTTCAGCTAACGCTTGCATACAAGAACAGTTCAGATTCCATCTCTGTCCCTTTTTGTTTCTTGTCACTTTCTCATGTACTTCAAAAATAAAATGTCAGAAATTCCATACTTCTGAAATAAGAAGGCTAACAAATATATATATAATAAAAGTTTAGGAAGCCCACACTAATTTTTTTTAATATGATAGTCTCTTTAAGAGAATTATAAACTTTTTTAAAAAGTAAAAGTTTCTGTGAAATTCATTACTTTTTGATTGGCATCATGTGAAACAAGATAAACATTTAACAAAAACTTTGTCTTGGTTTTGATAAGCTTTATTGTAAAATAATCAAATTCTGCCATTTATGTCTTCTATAGAATAATATGGAATGCTTTTAAATTTTAAAAGATCTAATACATTTATGAAATTTGTCTCCTCTTGAATGGTGAATAATACGTAACTCTAAAAATCTCAACAAATACATCATGTTGAATTATATGTTAAATCTTGTTCATTTTCAAATTCTGCTGCTTTTATAGCAAAAATTTTGCCCTGTGCAGAAATGCAAACGTAGAAAGCATCCTTCTCCAAAAAAAATCTTACCTGCCCCAGCATTACAATGTCAATAATAAGCCAACTTCTTGTGGCTAGCCCCCCATATTACATGTTTCTGTCCATGCCTGTCTACCTTTGTCTCAACACACCCATCCTTTTCCTTCACATGAATATTTACCAAATTTGAAGCACCTAAGCACAGGAGCTATTTGACTCCTATAGAGTTATTCCATTATTTAATATTTTTGTGACTTAGCATAATTTTACAATTCTCCCTGTATCTCATTGGGAAATTTTTTACTTACAGTACATTTCGTTTTCATCTGTAACAAAGATAAACTTGTCCCCAACAATCCTACAATCCCTTCTGTATTTAAATGTTAGTAACTCAGTCAGCCTGTTTTCTCTAAGCTAAATAATTCTAGTTTAGATTTTTTTTATAAATCTTAGTTTGCAAAAGAAATACATATCCTTGTGGATTAATTTATATGTTTTTTTAAAAATCACTTCATAAGTTTAACAATAAAATTACAAAAATTAAAAGAAAAAACAATTTTAAAACGTACTCCTCCAAGATTTGGAGCAACACTGTGGATGAAATAGAAAAAGCTGTTCCAGATGGCAGGAAACACAAAGGAGAAGTCTGAGGCATGTTCTATCACAAGAAGACGTTGGATGGACTGAAAGTGGGCTGGCACAGAGGACAGTGGAAGGAGGACAGCCATGCAGGGAGGAGGGATGCACAGGCTAGGGAAAGTTGCTGGTGCTTTAAATAAAACATTCTTTTATCAATGTGATTTTAATATAGGATTTCAGGACAGGAGTTACATAGTCTCTTGCTTTTACATGTATTTGAATTCATAATCTTCAAGAATCCCAAAGAAGAAAAGTTGTTTAGTTATGGGAAAAGAAGGAAGAGGCTTATCTCACAAGTATTGAGGACTCTGCACAATAAAAGCACTACAAATCAAGGATACCAAAGTAGACACTACTGATGAAGAAGGACAATTCTTTGAAAGAATAAAATCTGAACTATTAAGAGTGTCCACAAGTCTGACTTTGGGACTCATACAAATAAAATCCAATTCAAAATTGAGTTGGAACATTAGATTTAAACCAACTTTGTAATAAAAAGTGTTCTTTCCATTTTCAGAATTGTTGTAAGAGACCTAATTATACAACTTTGTTTGTAAATTGCTTTTGTTTTCCTTCATATATATGGACACACTGGCAAAGACCTCCCTGACTTCGGTGCTTAACTCCCTTTGGTGGATATACAGTGATAGAATTTAAAACAATATTCATAGCAAGTAGATATTTCACCTGAGATGTATGTGCAAAAATTTAAGAAAGCTTATAATTCGATTCTGGGATTATACATATGAATTCCAATGCACTGATAATTTTCATGCTTACATTTAAGTGTATAAAAATATAAGTGCTGATAAAATGATTATAGTGGACTTTTAAATTCTTATCCAAACTTACCAATTGAGAATGATTTATAGATAAGCTAAGCCTTTAAATGGGATATTGTGGTAAAAAAAACGTGCTGTTTCCCCTCAACATTCATCAGAAATAATGTCACTGGACATGACTAGGGAATATCTTTCCCAAGAATGTTAAGAAAGTGATATCATATGAGAAGGAAGACATATATTATCATTTTATACTGCCATCCTCATCTCTTTGGTTCACACATGTTATATTTGCTTGTTTTAGTTATTCAGTTTTTTGGTAAGTGTATGTATGAGATTTCCATTTTTC